CCCCCCCCCCTCCTCACTCTTTCTCTCTCTCTCTGGAAGTTTCATGGCTGCCGCACGCGCGACCACGGTCGTGCACACGTGCATCGGTGTGCATCGCCTCAAAAGCGGCACTCCTAAACAAAGCATTTACCCTTCCCGGTCGCATTGCCTTTACCGTTGAAATTTGCCCTTCCTTCAACATCAGGTGCATAAGGAAAGCATAGGGGAGCACGTCAGTGGATTCAAGCGGCTACAAGCGGAATCGAAGATGAGAATCTGTAGGAAGGCAGTGGCAGCTTAACGAGCCCGCCGGTAATAGATTGCGAAACGAGCTTCCGGGCGAAAATTCCGACGGGATGAAATTGAACTTGTCGAACCATGCAAAGGAGCATTTGTCGGGAGCGCGATCGTGAACATGCGTCTCTCGTTCCTCCTCTCCGCACGCGGTGAAGCGATGCGAGAGACTGTACGCGCGCTCGTGTTATTTTTCTTTCCCCGAAGCTTTACTTTCACGCACGGCCATACCGTCGGGATTTATCCCGTTGAATTCCATCCGGTACGTTTGTCCAGTCGGAAATGAAGTTTTCGGCGAGCGTGCGTTCGGCAAGCATGCGTTCAAGCGCCCGACAAACTGCGTGAAAAAATATTCCAAGTCCAATATAAGGCGGCCGCGCAGTTTGCCGGAAGTTGATTGCCCTATAAGCATGTAATATTCCTAAAATATTATATGAATATTATTAAATATGAAAATAATATTTCTATAATATTCTGAAAATGTTATGTAATATTTTTTATATTATAGGAATATTCTATTGATGTTACACTTCACGTAATATTCTTGGCATATCATAAAAATGTTTTTAGAATATTAAAAAAAGAATAAAATAATAATAATATAGGAAAATATATATAAATAAAAAAAATATATATATATACATATATCTAAATATAATTTTTTTTAGTATAAAACCATTTTTATACAAAATTATTTCAACTTTATTTATATAATAAAACAATTGGTATTGTAATATATTTCAAATAAAAAACTACAATTATATATATTATATATATGCATAGAGTTGAGTATTTAAAAAATATATATTACAATATTATTAAATAATATTATTCTTTAAATATTATTAGGAGTGAGCATATAACCATCTATTAATATTCCAGAAATATTACTTAATATTAAATAATATTACACGCTTATAGGATAAATTTGTTAAGAAAGAAGAAGACGCGAGGAATTGTCTTCTGCTAATAACGAGACTCTCATTCTCGCGCGCTCTCGGCAAATATTTCGTCGAAATGTTACGACAGAGCTGCTCAGCGCGTCTACGTCTGCTCGAGTACACGCAATTCGATTGTCGTGTGTCTTAAAAAAAAAGCGCCAACTCTTCGAAGCGCAGCCGTCATACAGAGCTGACGAGGCGCGCACGCGGCGCCTGTATCGGACAGACAGAAGACACGTCATCTGCGCAAATTGTCTCCGTAAAACCGCTTGCTCCTTTTTACCGCCGCCGGCGGTGGAGAGATAGGTGGAGAGAACGAGTGCACCGCGGGCATTGTCATCCGCAGCTAACAATGTGACAGCTGCTAAAAAGGAAGGCTCGCTCCTGTCGCAAGGATATTCTCTCTCTCCGCAGACACTCGTTTCCTTCCCGCGGAGTGAACAAATTATCGACAAGCGTCGCGCGTTTCGAGGACGTACGAAATTCATTTACTTCTTTGTCGCGCTTAGCCCCGACTCGCTAAGTCAATTAACACTCTCGACTCGTCGGTGTCTCTTTTAATAAATTGTCCCCTGCAGGGCTTATCCTCTAGAGAGGCGAAATAATTCTCTATGAAGATCGAAATATTCCGCAATCCGCTTCTAATACACAAACCGAGGCGATGATTATTAACTTTGCAATACGAGGGCAGAAAGAAAATTTATCTAAACGTAAAGATTGCATTGATACGCTGAGAAATAAATTTCGGTTATTTGTAATTATATATAATCGCGTAAACGAAAGAATTATCAGTCAGGAGAATCATTTTTTTTTGCAAGCGTCACTATAGTTATGTGTTAGTGATAATAATCTTACATGCATATTATTATTATCTTTGGTGTTAAAACCAGAAGAGGATATGATTTAAGCCAGAAATGACTCTAATCTTAATGAGATTTTTATCAGTGTGCCAGCGATCATCACTTCGAACACTTTTTATAAAAGTGAACCTCCTTCACCTTCTTTATCTAGCCGTTAATAAAATACTTTCATTTTTCGAAAATACTCCAAGTGGATACTCCAAGTCGAAGATACTTCCAAGAAAAAGTGTTAAAACTGATATAAGTACAGTCAACCGGTATACCTTCGTATGTTTTTCAGTTGCAAAATATCGAACTCTGTCGAAGAGAATTGTTTTATAGAATTAAAAATTCTACAAAAATATGTACCAGAGACACGAATGAAAAAGCGAAATATGAGATTTGATCAGGATTATCCCGACCTCGGGGGTAATGCCAGTCAACGATGTTTACAGTGTATAAAACCAGAGGAGACACAGATTTTACTGAAAATCGAGCATATTTATGAAATAAGAGATATGACAAAAAAGTTTCGCATGTAATATCTTGGAAAAATAGTCAATTGTTTATCGATTCGCATCCTTCGAGATGATACACACCGGGGGTGTTCCAATCCTGTGTTTCGCGCTCTCACCTGAAACATACGGTCCACCTTCTCGCGTACGCCCTCGTGATTCAGGTTTGGATCAGCGAATTTGCCCATTAGTTCGTATACGGCAGTCACGATGTCCGTCATCTCCTCCCGCGTGATACAGCCGTCCCCGTTGATGTCGTAAAGAGAAAAAGTCCAGCGGAGTTTCTCGTCTATCGAGCCGCGTGACAGTATACTCAGACCCGTAACAAAGTCCTGGGGACATAAAAAGCGACGTTCATTACATATATATATATATAGATATATATATACATATATCACTATATACGCGCAATATTTTTCACTCTGCGCGAAGATGCATCGCCGCCAACCAAGTACGAAAAATTTGCCGCATGAGTGCGGGAAAATTTGTCGCGCGCGTTACTCCGTTTTTAATTTTCGACACGCCCGGATACACGTGTTCGAGAAACGCGGTCGCGCCGGAAGAGCGTTAGCGACGCGCTTAATTGCGCGATAATTGTGCGAATAACGCCGATGGCGGACGGATGTATATACATATATACACATATATATCGGGCGGTAAACTTTAGCGCCCGACGGCTGAACCGGCGCGTTGCCGAAACTTAGAGCGAAACGTACAGATGTGAACACCGCGCCGCGCGAGATTTGTGGCCGTGCATGGGGGGTGTAATATGTGCACTCGCGACTTGCGGCTAAGTTATGTGCGCGGTCGAAAAGCGCGATTGTTGCGCGCGTTTATCGCGCGATGTGTGCCGTTATCGAGGCGTTCAATTCGAAATTGCCGACGGATATTCAACGCGACGATTTCGGAGGGAAAATCCCTCGTATCCCGGGCAGGCCTCCCTTCATCGCGCGATATCGGGGTTGCATCAGAGTGAAACGGAGTAATGGCGGTCGCACAGGCGGAAACTCTCATAATGTTGGCAAGAAATGTTGGATCGGTGCAAAAAGTTCCATAAAAATATATGCCAGAGACACGAATGAAAGAGCGCAATATGAGATGAGAGCGAGATATGAGTCCTCGACAATTTGTATTATCATTTTCACCAGAGCGTATATTTCAGGTTGGAATACAAATTTACGCTCACTTTCTCCGCATCCGAGTAACACGAAACGGGATGAGAGCGCGGATTTGTGCTATCGAGTACACACTCTCGCATTTGCATTAACTCCGCAATGATGCGAAATTTCGCTTGCGTAATAAAAAGAGCGCTATAACAAAAATAGACGGGCAGATGTCATTTCGGGAGAAATAGGTCGCCTGTGCATTTGGATGCACAGAAGGACGTTAAAACGCGCGCTAATTAAGCAAATAATGGCGATAGCGTGTAACGTTGTAGAAGAGTAAAATCGGTACCTCGAAATTCCCTCTTTCGGCATCTTTCGACTGTTTGTTCGATGGGGGACTCTTTAATCTGGACATCGTGGACGTTCGGGTAAATCGGAAAAAATTACAATTGTTATTGAAATTAATCATTATTAAGAAAAATGCTCGTATAACCGGAAATTCTGTTTCTTTCAACCGAAACTTGACTGTCCGCTCTTTCTGGTTAAATTCAACCAAACTTGTTTTCCCGTCAGGATATGTGGATGTGAAGTTGACTTCCGATTGGGAATCCCCTTCTGCGGCGTCCCACGTAATTTCGACTATTCGTTTACCGATCGCATTTTGACGTTCGGCAGCTCATCGCGGACATTCGGTGCTCGAAATCGGACTTCTCGTTCAAGCCATGGCGCATATTTCACATTACTTCTCACTCTTCATATCAACGATTTTTGTAGTCTTACAAATATATTCTGAGATATATATTACAAAGATATACATGATAAGTGCGTCGATCGTGGATAATCGGTGGCCCACACGGCGTGAACAGAAAATTACGTGAAATTGGGACGCGACGTTCAACGTGACGGAGGAAAATTGGATATGCGATTGCCTCGCCAGCGGATAAACCGGCGCTGTCAGTCGGTTGAATTACAGCGCGGAAGTCTTGCCCGGTAATAATATGTGTATATACACGTGAAACCGTGCGAAACCGCGAGGGAAGTTTGTATCGCGCGCAACACACGCGCTCTGTACAACAGATGCGTAAATAAAGCTGTAAGTAATAGAACTGGCATCCCAGCGTCCGTTTTTGGTACAACAATTACTATGGAAATTCCTCGGGAATTTCGAATACGGTGATTACGTAAGATAGAGCCACCGGTGCTGAGCCATGGTCTGCTCCCCATTGTGCCACTTATAGCAACTACAATTCGCCACAGAGCAAGATATGCATATCAGCGCGTTATCACGTTCATTTGGATGGAAAGATAGAACTGGGAAGGATGTTTACTCGCGATCCATTCGGACCCGACGGGTTCTAGCTTTACCGCCTCAGCGTGCGATGCGCATGAGAAACTATTCTGTAAACACCAAGTATATTCCTTTAGTTCCATTCGGAGTTAATTCCAATTAAAGTTCCGTTTCTCATATACGTGCGTAACGTGTAACGTTGTTTCAATTTGAGAATCAGAAAGGCATATATTTGACGCTCGATATACTGGGAGGAAAATCAATGATGAAATCAACAAAATTTTACTATTAATCCGCACGCCGAATTTTAATTAGCCGCCTCCGCAAAACCGGAGCGGGTGAACCGAGATGAGAGAGAGGCGAGGGAGTCTGTACGCTCCTTTGTTTCGTGGGATTTAAGTTGTCCTCTATCAAACATAAAATTTCAATTAAAGTCCCGCGATAAGGTTTTCGCCGCATCACGCGGAACGAAATTGCGGGCTTAGCTCGTCGCGGTAATTTTTCAAGGCACTTCCGGAACGGACGTTTTATGGGAGAAGTCACTTTGCTAATTGCGTTTGGTAGGCTTCGGCGCCAATAAAAAGCAGCGTAATAGGCGCCGATTGGATGGTGTGTACACTCGAGCGAATTAAAAACCATCGGAATTGGAAAGTCCAGTGTGCCTGTTTTCTCTAAGCACGTTAACTCGAGCGTTTATTTTGAAAACATTAATATTCGATTGATTGCTGCTCGATAATTGCGGAATCGCGTGTAACAAACGGGAAAGTTTAAAAAAGAAAATAAATGTAAGATTTTCCTTCTCTCTCTCTCTCTCTCTCTCTCTCTCTCTCTCTCTTTCTCCATCGATCAACGAGCTCCAATTGTGAAACGAAGCGGAGGAGTGCATCGATTGCCGAAACAAGGCGAGTTGTTTTCAGATTGCGTCGGGATGTAAAATGGCACGTATTATTCTGGATTTGGCCGCTTAATGGCCGTCTTTGAGATCAAAAGGCGCATCCGTTGAAGCTGTTAGCCCGGCAAATTGCATTACGAGCCGCGAGGAGAATAAAATAAAGTCAACGAGACGAGCGCGCAAAATGGTGGACGCTAAGTGACTGGAGTTGTCAGTGTTGTGGGGTTGACACAGATTGCACAGGGATGAGCAAACGTAGAAAGTAAACGTAGAGATTAAAACCAAGCGAAAAATACTATCTTCGCGCGAAGGCTTTATGATAATAATAATAATACCGGTATGCCATGCCGTATCGCGGCGTTATTAAGTCAAGAAGGAAACAATTGAAACGATACGCAAGGAAGCATTATAAGGAAAAAAAAGGGAAAGAAAAGAATGAAACGATGAAGAATACGAAAAGTCTTGGAAAAATGGTGCTTTTTAGAATGTTTCGAGAATTAAAACGATGCCATCAGAACCAACTTCTCTCTCCTTTTTTGTTTGGTTACGCGTTAAATACGGCGAATAACGTAGCTTGGAACTCAAGCAATGAACTATGGCGCTCGGAGAAAGGGAGAGAAACGGTCCAAAGGGAGTGAGGAATTGCCAAATGTTGTACAAAGTCTCCTAGAAAGGCTAAACCCTCGTATATATCATACTTGACGTTACTTAATCTTACTTACAGGCAGAATTCACGGTTTCGCGACTTGTTCTGCGACGCCTCCCGCATGTTTACACGTTTACTGTGACTTCGAATCGTCTTCTTTACACTTCTTTATACTTCTCATCGAAAGCGCTTCTCTACCTTTACGCGCTTCCAGGAGCTTATAATTTCACAATTGCGTCTTTTTAGAGACATACCTTATTTTAGAATTAGAGAGAGACATAATTTGTCTTTTCTTTCCTTCGAGTCGCTTCAAATAAAATTCTCCCACGCGCTTGATACGTGTTATATATGATTTTTTCTACAATTTTGAATTTTTTTCTGCAACAGAAAATAATGGAGTTTCGAATATTTATTCGGGAAGGTGAAGTTTTAAAATACACGGAGAACTCATGTCGAGCTAAGTAAGTTTTTCATAAATCAACAGCGAGATTTTCGCCCGTAAAATCAAGCGGAAGAACCAGGTATATGAGCGTTAATTAATAGTGCATAAGCGGATGCGCAAACCTGCATCATAATCATGAGAGCAAAAAAGTATGCAGCTGTAACTATGTAAACGAAGGTAGTAAGAACACTGCGTTGTTATTGCCGGGGGGATTTACATGTGTACATCGTACCTTGAACAATTTCCATTAGTTTAGTCCACTGCCGATTACATGGGTGAGTTATAATCATTTTACAAAACTGACCCGAGAAGAAACTAACTCAATACATTCTACAACGCGTTTTCTTTCGTGCAAATCTACTCACATTAATATCTGGAAATTCTCAACAGTAATGTAAAATACTAACTTCGATTCTAATTATTTCAGCTTCAGTATGGCCAATCACCTTCTAATTTTCTTCTAATTTTGCCTGCAGATAGAGTCTCGATTAACACGCTGTTAAAATTTGAAAAGATTCCTAAGAAAATTATTTTACGGACCAACTGTCTTCAAATAATGCATGACATATTAGTTTGAATAATATCGCTATTAGATCAAGTATCGCTTGAATCATGACGCTTTTGATCGCCTCTGTTGATAACATTTCTTTACATGTACGATTTAATCAGATATTACTTTAACTTTTCAACATTTCCGTCCCCTTTTGAGGTTCTTTCGACAAATTATTCATCAATCATGTAACCGTCGTCGTTGCGATGGCCTCGCCAACGTTCTGCGCGGTATTCGTATACCTCTGGGATATACTTCGCGTTGCTAAGTCAACTCTCATCACGAGTCAACCTCTCGGCTGATTCCCGTCAATATGACGCACACATATTGGTTTGCGCGCGAAGACGATGCGTTTCGACACAGGCGTGAGTAAGCATCAATATAGGAAATCAAAGTGTTACCAAATATACCGGCGTATTTATAGCCTGCCGACCCGATCCCAGCGGCAAACAGCGAAACGTCCGAATAAATACCGATTGTTGATCCAGGTCACCGTGATTATGTCGAGAGTCAGGAAACGGGGAAGAGGGCGAGACTCAATTATTCGGGGATTACGAACATAGAGCGAACGAGCTCGACGTATTCAAAGACCACGACGGCCGTTATTCAAATGCACGTTTACTTAATTCTTAAAGTGCATAACTTTGTTATTCACGGAATTTGCATCTTGAAAATTTTCACGATCGCGGTGCGCCACTCGCCTTCATGAGATCTCGGGCGTTTACGCGAAACGAGCCCGGCGAATATTCATCGGAAAGACCGCGACTTAACGTACTCGATAAATGTCCGATCTTGTCAAAAACGAAAGCGCCGGTTGAAAAATAAATATCGTGTATGAAATATCATGTATTGAAAAATATTTGTACCCCGGTAAAAAAAGAACCAGCTGAGAGAAAGAAGAAATAAAGGAAACTATATCTGGGACTAGAATGGCATTAAAAAAATTCTAGTAAAGAAAATCACGAATATAGTATACAGTATAAAACATGTAGAAAAAAGAGATAGCTTTTTTCATCTCGTCCGAAAATAAGCGCTCGCTGCCGAGGTGGAGTGAGGCTCGCAATTTGCGAAACTATTAGCCGGCTAATTTTTTTCGCTTTTGTTTACCGCAAGTACAGCCTCCCGTTGCTGCGTAATGAAATTGATCCGCGCGCGGCAAAGGTCGTGTTTCACACGCTGATCGTGCGAACGGGTTTTTTCTTGAACAACGACATTTTCGGTGCACACGGAGTCCCACAGCTACTCTGTTTTGTGCGAAATAAATCCTCAATTAATTCGTTAATGAGAAACAACGGAAAATGTAACGGGAAAGAATACAGTCAACCCTCCTATAACGCGGTATTCTCAGAACGCGGTTTCCATATAACGCGGAGCTGAAATTGCGATAGCCTTCCTATAACGCGGTACTCTTACAGCGCGGTTTCCGTTCAACAACGTCCCATCAGTTCTTTCCGTGCACCCAATGAATGATTTTAACCACTTGCGGTGGAAAGACGTGCTACGCACGTCGTAATGCTTTTGTCGCAGAATCGCCAACGACGTGGTATACACGTCGTCAGGCAATTGTCACAGAAACGACGTGCGTGGCACGTCGGCT